TGCTCAACCATGACACCGACAGTACTTTCTTTTATGTTGCAAATATAGTCTTCTTAAATTGGGAGTGTGGGCTCTAGCAGCTATTACTTCCAGACATTCCATGCATTATTTTTCACATGAGAAAGGACTGGTTAGAGCTGTCAGGGACACATTTCCAGAAGACTGTCTTTCCCTTAAATAAACTGGAGGTTGCATAAGTTTGTATAATTACAATTTACAATTGGACAAAAGTTGAAACAAAGATTTTTCATAAATAGTTAATTTTTATTGAAATTATTAAACCAAATTTCTTTTCATACTCTTTGTAACACTTAGTATTTTATGTTTAGATCTGTAGGGATATAGAAATTACTTAGATGCAAACAACTACCTTATTGTCAAACCACTTTTTATGGTTGTTTCTTAGGATATAAATCTAGTTATTGTCCAGAAAGTCTAAAATCCCCCAAATTTTTAGGTGTTTGTTGAATATACAGTAGCTCCTAATTCAGCTATGTATTCATATCAGCTTAGAGCAAGAGTTTAAACAGAGTGTGTGAATCATAATGTTACATTTTTCCTGTGGAAAAAAGAAAAATATGAAACAATACATTTCTTAAAGCACTAATTGGAAGAGCAAAAGACTGAAAACAACTCAAATGACCACCAATAGGGCATTGGTGGGAAAAAAAAAAATCATAAAACCATAAAACATAACTATACAGCTGTAAAATAGAATGGGAAAGTCTCTGTAGTAGGGTGGAATGATATTAAAGACATAATGTGTAGTATGTTAATTTTGTATAAGAAAGAAGTGAATATGTATACTTATATTTTCAGAAAGAAAAAAAGGAAGGGTAAAAAACAAAATCTAATAAAACTGGTTACCTATGGATTGGGGGAAGACCTGAGAGAATGGGATAGGAAAGGAAACTTAGACTTCTCTGAATCATATTTTACATTTTGACTTTAGAATCATGTGTTTTATGCAACTAAAAAATAATATTAAAGACAAGAAATAACAAGTGTTGTCAAGGACATGGAGATAAAGGAACCCTTGTGTTCTGTGGGAATGTTGGCTGGTGCGGCCACTGGAAAACAGTATGAAGTTCCTCAAAAAGTTAAAAATAGAAATACCACATGGTCCAGTAATTCCATAATTCCACTACTAGACATTTACCCAAAGAAAACAAAAACACAAATTCAGAAAGATAATATGCACCCCTATGGCTTTTGCAGCATTATTTACAATAGCCAAGATATGGAAGCATCCTCAGTGTCCATGGATAGGCGAAAGGGCAAAGGTGTGTACACACATACACAGAGACACACTGGAATATTACACAGCCATTAAAAGGAAGAGATCTTGCCATTTGCAACAACATGGATGGACCTAGAGGCTATTATGCTAAGTGAAATAAGTCAGAAAAAGGAAAATACCATATGATTTCACTTATATGTGGAATCTAAAAAAACAAAACAAGTGAATAACAAAAAGCAGATTCAGATTTGTATTCTACAAATACAGAGAATAAACTGGCAGTTGCCAGAGGGGAGAGGGGTTGGGATATGGGCAAAATGAGTGAAGGGAAAAGAGAGGTACAGGCTTCCAGTAATGGAATGAGTAAGTCTTGAGAACAAAAGGTATAGTATACAGAATATAATCAATGGTATCATGATAGTATTTTATTATGATAGTAGCTACACTTGTGGTGACCATAGTATATAACATATAATTACATCTAGTAGTATATAACATATAATAACATATGAATTACTATGTTGTATACCTGAAACTAATGTAACATTATGTGTCAACTATACTCAAATAAAAAATACTAATATTAGGGAGGCCTGGGTGGCTCAATTGGTTAAGCATCTGCCTTCAGTCTGCCTGGGGTCGTGGGATCATGTCCCACATCGGGCTCTGTGCTGAGTGGAGAGCCTGCTGCTCTCTCTCCCTGCGCTTCCCCTGCTTGTGCTCTCTCTCTGTCTTTCTCTCTGACATATAAATAAATTAAATATTTTTTAAATTTATTAATATTAATCACAAGAACAATAAAACAGAAAGCAAGACCTCCATCAAAAATGAATTAAAACAAATTGAACCTAGCTATATATCTTGTTGGTAGCCTAAGCACATGGAGAATTATTTCAGGTAACTCTTAAGTATACAGTTTTGACAGTTCATCAGTGGAATAATTCCTGACATCAAAAAGAATCATAAAGAAATTTTAAACTGTATTAATTCATCTTGTTAATAGTGATATTAATCTTTTTAATTTGAAACTAATACATACTCAACTCTCATATTAAGAGAAACAACTAAGAGCGAGTGAATGGCTCAGTGGATTAAGCATCTGCTTTCAGCTCAGGTCATGATCTCAGGGTTCCGGGATCGAGCCCCACATCAGGCTCTCTGCTCAGTGGGGAGCCTGCTTCCCCCTCTCTGCTTGCCTCTCTGCCTACTTATGATCTCCTTCTCTCTGTGACAAATCTTTAAAAAAAGAGAGAGAGAAACAACTAATACTTTTGATCATATCATTAAGACTTAAGTTGTTTTTAAAGATTTTATGTATTTATTTGACACAGAGAGAGATCACAAGTAGACAGAGCAGCAGGCAGAGAGAAGGGGAAGCAGGCTCCCCACTGAGCAGAGAGCCCGATGCGGGACTCAATCCCAGGACCCTGAGATCATGACCCAAGCTGAAGGCAGAGGCCCAACCCACTGACCCACCCAGGTGCCCCAAGATTTAAAAGTTTTAAAGTGAGAGAAAAGACAAATATAAAATCAGAGACCTTAAAAGTCCTCTAATCTTTTTTTTTAAAGATATTTTTTATTTATTTGACAGAGAGAGAGATAGGTCACAAGTAGGCAGAGAGGCAGGCAGAGAGAGAGGGGGGAAGCAGGCTCCCTGCTGAGCAGAGAGCCCGATGCAGGACTCGATCCCAGGACCCTGGGATCATGACCTGAGCTGAAGGCAGAGGCTTTAACCCACTGAGCTATCCAGGTGCCCCAAGACTTAAGAGTTTTAAAGTGAGAGAAAAGACAAAGAAATATAAAATCAGAGACCTTAAAAGTCCTCTAATCTTTAATTTGATTGCTAGTATCAGCATGAACTCATATCACTTTTTTTTTTCTTAAAATATGCATTTCCTATCCTACCCACTGAAAAAGCTGAGAAGCAGTGACAATCCAGGAACAGTGAACACCCCTGGTGCTCCAGTTACTGTCTTTAAATAAATATCATTCCCCACTCAAAGGAGTCCGAGCCCTCTGGAGAAATGGCTAAGTTGAGGTGTCGGGCAGGAACTGTGCAAGATGAGCCTAGAACATCTTGTCACCCCTTAACTATAAGCGGTCATATCGAAAGGATGCAGGACCAACTTCAGGAGGTCCCCACTGCCCAAAGGTAGAATAATTGGAGCAACAAAATATGAAAATGATTACATACAATAAAATATATTAAGCATATAAATATTCAAGAACTCATAATGCTTACCTCTGGATCACGATTGACAAGTAAAGGGGAAAATTAAACATTTATTCTACCTTTCCTGTACAGACTACTTCACAGTCAGTAAGAGAATTTCTTCATAACAGAGGAATCAGAGCTAATAAATGCAGGGAGAATAATAGAATTAGAAAAATCACCCATTTTGCAACATCTCATGAAATGATGGCTCTAATCAACAAACATTAATGTCTGCTGAAAACGATAAGTGAGAGGTTGATGAAGAACTTTATAATAGAGTCAGGCCGACATCACCTTGGACCCACTGATCAATCTTAACATCCTTAAAATTGGGAGAAACACATCCCAATACGATGTAATGAGAATTACACAGCATCACCTATGATGTATCCTTGACCGAAAGAAATTGAACCTGAAGTAATCCAGCCTCTAGATCTAACTATTGGTTTACACGAAATTTGAGGAATAGAGGAACATGTTAAATTACATCATGAGAATAAAATCAGCCAGATCTAGAATGTAGAAAATTTTCAAATGTGAATAATCTATTCCCTTCAATAAATAAATAGCAATGGAAGGGACAAACTGAAGACAGTCAGTCATTAAAAGGGATTTAAGATACTTATCAACGAGGTCTAAGGTGTGGACCTTGTTTGGATCCTGTTTCTTGTACTTGTAAAAAAACTACTTGTAAAAAAGACATTTTTTTTTTTTGGACAATCAGTGAAAATTAAACATGAACTGTGTAAGATGATATTAAGGCATTATTCATAATATTATCAGATGTGAAGATGGTATTGTAATTATATTACTGTTTGGTTTTTTTTTTAAGTCTTTATCTGAAATGCCTACTAAATATTTAGGGGTGATATAGCACGATGTCTGGGAGTTACTTTTGAGTACTCCAGGTCTACCCAAAAAAATGAAGTGAGGGGCAACTGGGTGGCTCATTGGTTAAGCCTCTGCCTTCAGCTCAGGTCATGATCCCAGGGTCCTGGGATCTAGCCCCATGTCATGCTCCCCACTCAGCGGAGCCTGCTTCTCCCTCTTCCTCCGCCTGCCTCTCTGTCTACTTGCGCTCACTCTCTCTCTGTCAAATAAATAAAATCTTTTTTAAAAAAATGAAGTGAGGATGAATAAATATGAAGTAACAGAGTTCCTGACTATAGAAGCAGGGCAATAGGTGCAAATGGATTCATTGTGCTGCTAATTCCTTTTGTATGTATTTCCATGATAATTTTTTTTTAATATTTAAGGCCCTCCCCCAAGATTAGCTCAGATTAGCTTGGATCATTATAGCATTGCCTTCTCAGCAATGTGTTATTAGGTTTTAGGTGAGAGCCTTGGTGTGTAGGAATGTGATATTTGCAGATCTCAAGAGGAAAATGGTTTTTTGTTAGAGCTTAACTATAACATCTTTTCATCCAGTTAAATTCCAGAAGTCATAAAAATTACTTCATAGAAAGAAAGAAGCTTGCTTAGAATAGTTGTTAACAAGCTTACACACCAAAATATACTGACATTATACCCCCTTTTTTTTTTTAGACCAAGCCACCCTGGTCGAACAAGTAAAAAGAGTAAAAGAAATTGAAGCCATTGAAAGTGATTCTTTTGTTCAGCAGACATTCAGATCAAGTAAAGAAGTCAAAAAGGTAAGTTTTCATCCAGACATTATGAATAAGCCTTTAGATTCCCACTGAGGAGATGCTTTATTAATGGATTTTACTTAAATGTAAGTGCTTCTTCTAACAGATAGATGAAGTAGGGTGAGCGAGTGTCAGCGTGTTATTGAGAGAGAGAGAATGAATCAGTGAGAAGCAGTTCAAGTTTAACTTGTAAAAATATATCTGATGCCATTTTTATTTTAAAATTCACTGAGAAGACAAAGTAAAATGTCAACAGTTCAAAGCAGTAATATGCATTTCATGAACATATAGTTTTCTTTTCAAGTGTCTGCATCGACTTTTTGAATTGACACTGCTAGAGAAAAGTTGGAAGAGAGCTTTAACAATCAGATTATTACCCAAATAGTAACACGTATCTACACTCTTTGCCCAGATGGGTATCACTTATTCAACTCCAGTAAAAGGAGTTTTGATTGGCATTTTATTTCTGTTGAATATTGCATATATTCTTTCAATTATTATCAGGGCCGCCTTTAGGAATCTGTTCCTTTAGTCGGAAAAGGCATTCCACTGTAAGATGCATGTATTCTTTAATAACATACATGTAATGAAGACATGGTATTATTACCACTTATTCAAAAATATTCTGTATCTGTAAATATATTAATGACTATAAAGTATCCTGCTGACGAATTTATCATAATTCATCTATTTTTTTCTCTGGTACTAGATATTTAAGTAGTTGTAACCCTGAAGGTATGACATACATGTTTGTAAATATCCATTCTTATCCCCTTAAGATCAAGTTTTTCAAGATGGAGTTATCTGCTTAAGGTTAATATTATTTATTTTCACACATGTTCCCAAAGTCATCCTCCACACACATTGTCCCAATACAGATTCTGCCCACAAGTACAAGGAAATGTCTGCCTCTCACACCCTGGTTAACACCAGGTCCTTTTTCCCATTTACTGACCTGATAGATAGCCAGGCGAAAATTGACCTTCTGTTTTCCTATTAGCATTTCTTTTATTGCTAGTGACATGAACATCTTTTCAGTTACCATATACATTTTAAATCTTCCTGGAGAAGTGACTTGAGCATGTGCTGCGCACCTGGGTACACAGCACCAGCCAGCCCTGGTTAGCCGTGGTCCCTGCCTTCGTTTGACGATTTCATTTGAACTTTCTATAGTGTACACCAACACGACTCCTAAAAAAGGGTGGAACTGTAAAATGGACATCCATAAGTATAGTTGCTCGTTTAATACCTTACTCTTAAATATCTTACATATTAAAAGGTCATTCATATGTCCTGAAAGAATTGTAATTTACTTTCCTAATATTTGTTTTCTGAGGTTCACCCTGACTTCCCAGGTCTCACTGGACTCACTGAAGATAAACAGCATTTTCTTTCTGTGGAAATACTTATTCCTCTGTAGTTAATACACCAGGTTTTCCGCTAAACAAGTTTTCACCTTTTGATAGTAATTATTAATAATAAACTTATTTGGGGGTGCCTGGGTGGCTCAGTCAGTTAAGCAGCTGCTTCCAGCTCAAGTCATGATCTCAGTGCCCTGGGATCAAGTCCAGATCTGACTCCTTGCTCAGCAAGGAGTCTGCTTCTCCCTCTACCCTTCCCCCCACCCCACTCGTAATCTCTCTCACACTCTCTCAAATAAATGAACTCTTTTTAAAAAATTATTTTAAAAAATAATAACAAACTTATTTTTAATTCAATTGTTTTCCCTCCAAGATACTGGCAGCCCTTCCAATAACTAGCAAAACCAGCAATGAACAAGGAAATTGATCAGAAGTGTACCTGATATAGAGGAAAGAGGGTGGAACTTAGGACTCAAGGGGATGTGAGTTTGAATTTTAACTTGCAAACTTCCTGCCATGATTTATGGTCTTTAGCAAGTTTCTCAACCTCTTCAGCCCTCAGTTTCCAAATTCATAAAATAGAACCAATAACACCTACTTTTTGGAGTTGTTGAGGAATAAATATAATGAGTATCAAATATCTAACATGGCTCTTGATCCAATAAATGCTTATTTTTAGATATCATACTCTAGCATCTAAATTGTTTTATATCTATGCACATTCTGTAAACTAAGCATAGTGCTTAAAAACTTCTACTATAGGTTCTCATTCTGTCTTAAGTATCAACACCTTATCCCATTTACATTTTTTAATCTTCCCCTAGTTTCCATGCTCACCAGTAAGGCAGACCTCTTGTTGAAAAACACAGAAAATCTGTGTTTTACCTTTAAAGTCTTTTGAAAGGTATAAATGTAATAATATCTGTATATTTCCATTACAGAATTAATAATGTTTTCATCTCACTGCAGCCACTAGAAAAGTTTTAAAAGATTATTTCCCATAACATCTGAAGGTTATTTATCTTAAGCTAACTGACTAAATCCAAGGGAAAAAGTCTTCTTCCTAAATCTCCAACAAAACCCAGTATAGTTAAATGGCTTTCCATGGGACCAGTATAAAGGAATTTCACCAATATCTCTGAGCAAAGGGACCATCATTATTAATTACTTTAATAATTAGTTTCTGTTTTAGTTTTCATTGCCAAGTTGGAATTTTCTCTTACCTTCAATACAGCTTTTCTTGCACTTCTAATTCAGATGCCACCATAAGGGATAGGGAAGACTAAGATGAAATAGGGGCCTCCTGGGGCACCTGGGTGGCTCAGTTGGTTAAGCATCTGACTCTTCATTTCAGCTCACGTCATGATCTCAGGGTCGTGAAATCAAGTCCCACATAGGGCTCCACGCTCATCAGGGAGTCTGAGATTCTCTCTCTTTCCCTCTGCCTCTCCCACCTTGCATGAGCTCTCTCTCTCACTCTCTCTAAAATAAATAAATAAATTCTCTCAGTTTCAAAAAGAACATTCATGAATCTGTGTGAGAGCAACTCATCTACTGTTTCAGCTGTCTTTTAAAAGAGGTGCCCCTTAATAATAATTCACACAAAGAAATAAAATCAATTCTGGAAAGCCTTGAGCTGGCTAGTATGATGGAGAAGCAAAAGCAGCCTAGAAATACTAATGCAGCACTGTGAGCTGAGCCACTTAAAAATGTATTTAATTAAAATATTTTACCAACATCTTTATTTCTTTCCTCTAAAATTAAAACCAAATAAAAATAAATCTTGGGTTTAGCCATTGGGAAGCAGTGGTCAAAAACATGAGATGTACGGTCAGACAGATGTGGGTTCAGGTCTGATTCTGCCATTGACTGACTGTGTGTCCTTAAACCACATGAGAACCCCATGGCTCTCTTATCTTAAAAGGAGGTAATAGCCCTGGCAGAAGTTTTTATAAGGATGAGCAAGATACTTTACATAAAACAGTTAACCAAGTGCCTGATACTCAGGAAATAAAAGCTGTTATTATTCTTTCTCTCCCTGCTTCTGTTCCACCTCTTCCTCTTCCTGAACGCTGAGGGCTGCATTTGGCTATGGCGTTGTTGTTGTTTTTTTTCCCCTTTTTAAGATTTTATTCATTTATTTGACAGACAAAGATCACAGTAGCAGAGAGGCAGGCAGAGAGAGAGTGGGAGAAGCAGGCTCCCCGCTGAGCAGAGAGCCCGATGCGATGGGGGGCTTGATCCCAGGATCATGACCTCAGCCAAAGGCAGAGGCTTTAACCCACTGAGCCATCCAGGTGCCCCTGGCTATGGCATTCTTAAAAGGAATTGGAGATGCAAAGATTCTCATTTTGGTTGGGTCACAGCTTGTTTTATGTAATTTTTTATGGTTTATAGACCCTAAAATTCTCATTGGAGTCTTGGTGACCTATTGTATTACTAAGCAAATAATTAAAAAATTTACTTCACAGCTTACATAGTAGCTTATTGGTTCAGTGTACAGACAGAAGCTCGGGCCAGTTTGTTTCAACACAGCATTCAGAAACATTAAAACACTAACCAAATGATGTAAAACAGTGTTGTAACATAGCCCCACTTTGTTTTTTATATTTAAATAATTTAAAGTGACTAAAGTAATAATGGCTACCATTAATGCTAGACATTTAACATATTTATCTAAAATCCCAGTAACCTTTATTTAAAACTAAGCAAGCTAAGGCTCAACAAATTTTAGAACCCATGGTCAAAGTACTAATAAATGACAAGAAAGAACATTCACACAAAATTGATTCAACCCCAGACCCCATGTTTGTTTTTAGTCATTCGGTGTCTCCCATAATTGTGAACTCAATGCACGTTCCTTTGACGTATAAAGAAAGCATGCATTCACTAATGGGGGAATATGCTAAAAAACAAAGACAGGGGCGCCTGGGTGACTCAGTGGGTTAAAGCCTCTGTCTTCAGCTCAGGTCATGATCCCGGGATCCCCGGATCCTGGGATTGAGCCCCGCATCCCATCCGGCGCTCGGCAGGGAGCCTGCTTCCTCCTCTCTCTCCGCCTGCCTCTCTGCCTCCTTGTGATCTCTGTCAAATAAATAAATAAAATCTTTAAAAAAAAAGAGAGAGAGAGAGAGAGAAAATGGCATTTACCTTAGTGAATGTACAACAGTCTAAAGTATTAGCCATCCAACACTGGACTTTTGTTTGTCACTGCATTTCAAAATGATCAGAAAAGCAGTGATGGGCCAACAGTGAATAAATTTACACTCAACTGTAATATAAAACAGAAGGCCAATTTATTAGTTTAGAAAATGATATCCCTTTCCAGTTTCTAAAATGTCTGTGTCTGCAGTATAAGGTAGCAATTCAGGATGCCCAAGAAGCTGAATTATTTATCAGGAGATTACTTAGCAAAGGGAGGTAAATTATCTTGAGGACCATTTCATCCAGATCATGGGGAGATAGGGGCTATCCCTGATGCATAGCAAAGACTAACTCTCTTGAGGACTAAGTTACTGATGACCCAGGTTTCAACATGTTTCTCTTCTGGACAGCTCTACGTACACTGGCATAAAGTTTGTATCCCTGAAAAAGGCTTCTCTATACTCACAACCCCTTCAACTGAGAGTGTTCACCAATGTGAATTCCACTAATTAAGCTAAAGAGCTGTTACCAGAAAGTGGCTATTACCAGCAACATTCTAGACAGTGTGTCTCTGTCAACACATATCGATTTAACAGGTTAACTCTCTGCAATCATCTCTCTCTTGTGTGAGTAGATAATCTGATAGCCTCTGCTAGATCATCAGCTTCAGGAACCAAGATGCAGTTTGTTTCCAAACTGCTGTCACAGATAAGCTTATTGCCAGTTATTCAACCCTGAAATGGTTGTAGCTGGCAGATATCCACCTATGTTCAGAAAGAGGGTAAATAACCTTAAGCAGCAGTGTCTAACTTACTCTTTTTTCCTTGGAAGTCTGTTTTTAAAACAAGTTTTCCAATCCAAACCACCAGGTGGCAGTGCTACTCAAAGCCAGATACTTGATAGTGGCTCTGTTGAGTTTTTTTATAGTCAAAATTTCTCCAGCAGTTTTCCTCACTTAAAGAAGCAATTGATGATTCTTGTCATATATTTTTTAACTACCCATTTAAATAATAACTTCCATGTTCTGATCCTAATCTCTGAAAACTTTACCTGAAATGTGTATAAGCACTTCTGAAAGAAAATGTTAATGTACTGTAGGTAAAAACAGAATGAGATCAGTTCACTGATATAATAGAATGTTGTACCTCTGCCACCTGAATATGTGCGATCCACATCTTTGACAACAAGAACAACAGCACTCCACAATTCTTCAAGGCAGCTCGATACTGCCAGTCTAAGCCCCATCAAAGCACAGCTAAGACAGGCAGAATGACATGCTCCTCTATTCTCTGATTGCAGCATAGACTACCAAAAAAATGATGTCTGGACCTCATTAAATTAGCATACTTCCCACCTTTCCCTATTGCAGAGTGTTGGGCTTTACTGATCTACGTCCTTGGTTTTATAAAGGGTCAGTATAATATCACACAGGCCTGTAGACCTTCTCGGCCCAGTATGTTGGAGACAGAAAAGTTTGACACCTGGTGATGGAGGTGGCGGGGCGGGGGGGGAGTACTGGCTTCAAAATACTAGAAGAAAACTGCCAGATAGAACAGTTATGTCTTTAAGTATCTATATGTCCCTTGTTAATATTTGCGATTGTCTTTATTTTGATATATATTTGTTAGTAATCTGTAGGTTCCATTAGCAAAATGTAATCTCCCTGTGGTACAGAGAACATAGCTATTTTACTCTCCCTTGTGTACCCAGTGCTTAGCAGTTAGTAGCATTCAATAAATACTGAAAACATGGAATCCAGTTCTAAGATAAATCATTCTAAGAAAGGATTAACTAATTCATATAGATTTCATTTTCTAGGTGTTTTTTCCCAGTGACATCTGTTTTACCCTTCACTCAGAGAAGTGGATGTTCAGAAGTAGCTAAATTAAAAGAAAATGGTGGTTCAAAAACTACACATATAGAACCAGTGGATGTAGAAAAAAGGTTGAGTGGTGGAATTAATCTCCCAGTCATCTTGGGTTATTTTAACTTCCGATTTCAGTTTCTCGTCTAGTCCATTTCATGTTATCCCTGCAGCCTTGCTGCTAGTTAGCCACTTTCCTGGCCTTTTCCTTTCTCAGCTAGGGAGGCATGGGATTTAACCCAAGAGAGCGCAACATTGCTGGTGTGTTCCAGGCATCAGCAATGATTTACCAGTCCTCATGTCTGCAGCTCTGAGCCCAGTGCCTGGCCCCTTGTATGGCCCCTGAATGATGGAATATCATTCAGCAATAAAATGGAATGATGTACTGATACATGCTTCAGCCTTTCAAGGGTGAACCTTGAAAGCATGCTCAATGAAAGAAGCCAGTCACAGAAAACAAAACAAACCAACAACAACAAAAAATTACCTAATGTCTGATCTTTTGTGTGAAGTGCCCAGAATAAGCAAATCCATAGTGACGGAAATAGATGAGTAGTTGCGTAGGGAAGGGGAGGCTGGGAGAAATGGGGATTAGCGAGTACTAATGGGTATGGGGTTTTGTGGGAGGAATATGAAAATGTTCTGAAGTTGCTTGTGGTGTTGGTTGCAAAACTCTTGTGGATATGCTGAAGGCTATATGAATTGTGATATGTGAATTATATCTCACTGAGGCTTTTATTTAAAAAGCAAAAACTAAACAAACTTTGAATTTGCTTTTCACCTCTAAAGAGACCAGATGAATGCTGGAGCTTTGTTGCTTGTTTTGACTAATAGAATTTAGATTTATGAAATATGTTTTTCTATAGATAGACTCATACGTCCCAATTTCTCAAGAAAAATATGCTGATTATTAAAAAAATGATCAACATTGTCTCCATGTTTTTGTATTTGTCGTCTTGTTTTAAGAATTGTTTCTTATGGGATAGGAGAGAGTAAATGAAACAAGTTGGGATTGGGAGGGAGACAAACCATAAGTGACTCTTAATCTCACAAAACAAACTGAGGGTTGCTGGGGGGAGGGGGGTTGGGAGAGGGGGGGTGGGGTTATGGACATTGGGTAGGGTATGTGCTATGGTGAGTTCTGTGAAGTGTGTAAACCTGGAGATTCACAGACCTGTACCCCTGGGGAAAAAAAATATATATATGTTTATAAAAAGTAAAATTAAAAAAAAAAGAATTGTTTCTTATTCAGTCACCCAGGGTCTTTTTATGATTAGCAGTATCTCAAAGAGACTAAATGAACAATTACTATTCAAAATAAAAAATATTGTTAAGGCAAATTTTAATTCATCTTGTGATCTAATTAATGAACTATTTCTGTATGATGTTTCAGTCCGTGGAACCTGGTGAGGTGAAGCACACAGCTGTGACATCAGGACCAGCACCAGGAGCTGCTGACCCACCCAGTAGTGAGAAAGAAATAGATCCCAGCAGCATCCCAACGGCCATCAAGTACCAAGATGACAATTCTCTGGCCCATCCAAATGTAAGATCTTTAGATCAAACAATGTCCACTGAAGTCTAGTTGACTGAAATGAGTTTAAACTGTTGTTATTTTGTGCTGGTGACAAGAAGCCTGTTGGAAGCAATGGATTCATATGTTCCTGTTGGCTAGAAATAGGCAGCTGACCCCTGTCCCTTAGAGCAGTTACATGGATTTGAAGCCCGTATGAGCCAAATCATTTTGTCTGACTTTTAGAAGTATTCTTTCTATGCTTAACAAAAATAAGCAAAAAAAAAAAAAAAAAAGAAGTTTGGTTGTTTTTTAAATCTAGCATTAAAGATCTAATTCTGCCTGAGCTCTAGTTGGTTCATTGAATTGAGCCTGTCATCGACATATTTTGCTCTCTGCTCTGAAGTCGTGGCATTCCACTGTGTCTCTGAGAGAGTATGTAGGAAATAAACTTCACAAAATGCACCATAAAATTGTTAGCAATGTTGATATTAGTCCTTTTCTCCAGGACTTTCTGAACATTATTAATTCCAAATAGATTATCTTCAGTTGAGAAGTCACCAAAAGTTTAAACAGTATCCAAATCTTGTGCTAAAAGATGTATTCTGTAAAGGTAATTTATGTTGCATAAGGGCAAATCCAAATTATTGGCAAACAGTAACATTTTTTCTTTTTCTTTTTCTTATTTCAGTTATTTATTGAGAAAGCTGATGCTGAGGAAAAATGGTTCAAGAGATTAATTGCCCTCCGACAAGAAAGGCTAATGGGTAGTCCTGTGGCCTGAATAATATACATATGGTTGAATTAACAGTAACATTGGAAATTTAGGTTTTTAAATCCCAATATTAACTTTTTACTCTTAAAAAGCAGTTAGCTGATAATGTAAAAAGGTACTATTTCATTCATTTCTCGTGTAGGCTTGAATATTTGCTGATTTGAACTTAGCCAAACATTGTGAATATTAAAACTAGTGTAAAATTTAACAATGCATGAAAATGTCATACTGTTAATAAAAATTAAAAAAAATAAAAATATACTGTTAATTAAAAAATGTCATACTGTTAATAAAAATAAATAAAAATAAATGATACATAGTAGTATTTGAGTAAGATTGGAAAATATCAAGTCATCATTTAAAGACACAATTTTGATTAATCATGCATATGTAAGAATCAAACTATATGCTATCCATGTGAGATTTCATCTTCCATGTATTATGAAACCATTTTGAGTCTTTTTTTTCACCTTATTGTAAAAATTTAGGCAGAATAAAAAGCACTCCAAACAATCTAAGCAGAATGAGCATGTTAATCTTAAAGGAAAAACATATTTTTTAAAACATTTCTTGAAAATTAAATAAATTGAAAATTTATTACTTAGAGATCAGCATTTACTAAGTGTTCCTTTTAAAAATATTAGCAGATCCCGGCTCATTCTTCTAGAACCATATGTTCATACTAGACCTCATCAGTTGACCAAATACCCATGATGGGGAAATCATTTCTGAGGAAACTGGTGAGAGCTCTCACTTCAGTCTTACTTACCCAACTGCTAGTCCCTGCAGAGAAAGCCAGCTAATTATAACTTTGATAAGGCTATCTGTCATTGTAGAATACCTTTCTCCAGTAGCTGAATGAAAATCAACCATGCTTTCCATACTAAACATGCCAGAGATGAGGATTTCTAGGCCTTGCAAAACTAGTTTTCAACAGCTGACATGAATATTTCCCTTGTATTTTGTTCTGTTGTCTGGTGTCACTCTAATTTGGTCTCTGTGAAGACTGTGCCTCAGAATACAGTATAAACCTGAAAAGTTTGGGGGCGAGGATTACCAATATGTAGGACAGTTTAAAGCCATCTTTGTTGTATTTCTGAAACTACTAAAACTCTAATTCCTATAAAAATTTTAAAAGTAGGGGTGCCTGCATGACTCAGTTAAGCATCTGCTTTCAACTCAAGTCATGATCCCAAGGTCTTGGGATCTGCGTCCTGTATTAGGCTCCCTGCTCAGCCTCTCCCTCTCTTGCTCCCCCTGCTTGTGTCTCCTCTCTCCCTGTTAAACAAACAAATAAATAAATAGATATTTTAAAAAATAAATAAAGGGTGCCTGGGTGGCTCAATTGGTTAAGCGTCTGCTTTCAGCTCAGGTCATGATCCTGGAGCCCCACATCAGGCTCCCTGCTCAGTGGGGAGCCTGCTTCTCCCTTTGCCCCTCCCATCTCTCGTGCTCTCTCTCTCTTTCTCTCTCCCAAATAAATAAATAAAATCTTTAAATAAATAAATAGATTTTTAAAATATAAAGATCCCAGTTGCAAAAGGTATGGAAAATAAGCTGATGACAAAATACTTATTTTCGTATAAACATGGTTCACATTCTAAGTAGGTGCTAGTGGTCTTTTCTTCTCTTTTCTCTTCTTTTTTTAGCTGTAAGTGAAAGTGCCTAGCATAAACTCAGGTTCATGTGATCTTTAGTAAAGATACATACATGTTTAGTGACTAAAGGAGGGATTACAGTTTTTGAAATACTTTGTAGTTCATTCCTTGCATAACTTGTAAACGGTAAAAGGACTCTCACTCCTTTGGAAAGTATATTTTACAAGAATATGGGTTGTCATTTGGTCCACTAGTTTATTCTTCAGTGAACCTGGACTAGGCATTTTTTTCCAGTATGCCTAACGCTCCTTACTTATAACTAGTGAAAATATTGTGACCTGTGTTAATTATATTTAACACCAGTGTTCCTTTATGGCAAGTAGCCCAAACACAAAAGTTTAAATTACAGTTGATTTGTATTTTAAAGCTAAATTTTTCAAAGACATGGAGAATCAAGTTGTTTTTTAATTCACTAAACTTTAGTCCCTGCAGGAACTCAATGACTATTCCCCTCCTTCCTGATTTCCAGTATGATTCATTTTAATGTATCATTAACTTCATTTACCTACATTCCTGTTGAAGACTACAATATTACCACATAAGCCAAATCAAATTTAATGAGAAAGGCTTCAGAGAACACTATCAAATATATCACCATACTCAAGCTAGGTGATGCATCCTGGCCTTCTTTAATATCCTAATGTAATGAGTCTATAAAACACAACAATCCCTTTCATGTCACTTGAGTAATGATAACAATTTGGACTTACATGAGACCTTGGTGTTTATTGAGACATTAATTTCATACAGAATGATGAGTGCTTGTAATATAAGTTGGGTTTTCATTTCTGACTACATTCTTAGGGAAAATGGAATAAGAGCATCACGTCATTCCCCTGCTTCACTTCAGCATCCTCACCGATAAAATGAGGATGCTAAGAGTGGACCTGCCTTCTTTGATTTTTCGGCAACATAACATAAAAGAATGCCCTTCATAGAAAAAGTTTTCTGTGTATGCCAAAATAACATTTTAGCATGCTAGCCAGCTTAAGGAAATATGGAACAGATAGTTACATGGGTAATGGTGCGAAAAGCTGCACCCCAACATCGGTGTACTCCTTATGTATGCACTTGAAATGCCGTGGTCGGTGGACTCTATCCCAGCTTTGTCCCCAGCTCTCCCTGATCTCCCTCCCTGCCAAGAACACAGGAAACCCTATTTGCTCTGCAGTTAATGACCTATACCATCTACTTACTTGAGGGATCTCAGGTTTTCTTTAGTCAAATTTACCCACTTATTCGTTAATCTTTTTTTTCAATACCTATTTGTCCTGGGCACCATGTGTGCAGTTGAGTACACACAGGTGAGTCTAGTGGGGATCCTGCCTCCAAAAGGTTTAGTTATGAAGCTCAGACATGTATATGACACAAGAAATATAATACTTAGTGGCAGGGCAGAAAACACAGTGGCAGTGAAAAAAGAAATTATTCCAAGTTAGAAAATTAAGGAAGTCTTCATGAAAGAAATCACAACTGATGAAGACTTGAAGAAAGATGGCCCTGGAGCCACAAGGACTCCCAGCCAGCCATCCACCTCCATCTTCCTAATAGTTGCCCTGGAAGGTTGGGAACTATCTAACCCATGGAAGTTCTAACCCAGGGAAGAATCCCTCTTGCAAAAGACCTAGGTGGCCCTGCCTCTCAATTTTATGAAAAATCCAGGCAAAATTTGAGGTTTCTGGTTACCCTTTGGCTTTCTCTGACCATTTCTACCTTTCAGTGGAGAATTGGATAAATAAGCCAAGCCTTCATTTGGCCACTGGTATCAACAGTCTTGTATCACTACCAAGATGACATGAGCCGAGACATGCAAAGAAAACTGAAAGGAGACTTCCAGTACCTCTGAGAGCATCATGTCTGGCAGTAAAGCCTTGCACAGCCATGTGGATCCCTCTGCGTTCCCCCGATACGCTTTGTTTTTCCACTGTGTACTGTTATAGAAAGCATTATTTGGAACTAAAAGATAGAGTCCACTTGTCTGGTTAGATCCTACCCCAAATTTTCCTTTCATTTGGGGATCCAGTGAAAATCTTTAAGTGTACAAATAAGATAGTAATAAAAGCTAGAAACGGAACAAGACAGGTGACATTTTTGGTCACTGAACTATGGATAAATTGATCTGGAATTCTTGTACCCATATTACTCCTTCCCCCATTTCCCTATCTCCAAATTCCTTTTGAGTATTACAGAAGGAATTTTATTTATTTAAGAATTATTTCTTCTAGAGAGAGAGCAGTGGAGAGAGGGAGAGAGAGTCTTAAGCAGACTTTGTGCTGAGCATGAAGACCCTGAGATCACAACCCTGAGCCAGAACCAAAAGTCGGATGCTTAACCAACTGTGCCACCCAGGTGCCCTGACAGAAGGAATTTTAAACAAGCTCTTGGCCATTACTCAATTGACATAGTACTTGAATTATTTAGACAATGTTTAAATGCCATCCTTTAAATGTAAGCTTAACTCCTTAGAACTCCATTCTGGAATAATGAAAAAGCACATCATCTTCATAAGAAAATACTTGAGTCTTTACCACAGAACAGGAGTAAAAATAAAGGTAAGAAAGAACATTTTGTGAATTCTCTAATCATTTTCGCCTTTTATTACACTGGGGTGGACAGTGGTCGATAAATTTAACTGGTGGGTTTTTCTAAATCAAAACACTCTTATCCCTATTTCCAAGTTATTTTTGGCTATCGTTGTACACCCAGGATCTAGCCCATTCCTGACACAAAGAAAGCTCTCAATAAATATTTTCCAGTGAAAGAAGAATGAATTTGCCTGTGTCAAATGAGCCATCTATTTAACAGTCTGGTTATTTAAATTAAGCTGTTTGGAGCCAGCACAAAAAATAAGTAGGTGTCTATGTGTATACCAAAAGAACTGACCGTACAGTCTCAAGGAAATGCTTGCACACCCGTGTTCATAATGGCATTGTTCACAATAGCTAAAACATGGAAGCAACCCCAAGTGTCCATGGATGGATGAATGGAGAAGCAAAATGTGGCGTATGCACACAATGGAATATTATTTAGCCTTAAAGAGGAAGAAAATTCTAAGCAAAATAAGTCAGTCAAGGAAAGACAAATACCATATGGTTTCATTCATATGTGGAATTTAAGAAACAGAACAAATGAGCAAAGATTAAAAGAAGAGAAAGAGACAAACCAAGAAACAGACTCTTAACTATAGAAAACAATCTGATGGTTACCAGAGGGGAAAGAGTGAGGCGATGGGGATTAAGGAATGTACATGTGATAAGCACCAGCTGATATATGGAATTGCTGAATCACTATATTGTACACTTGAAACTAATATAACACTGTATGTTAACTAAAAAAGGAGGAAGGAAATTCTCAATAACACTACAACTTGAATGAACCTTGAGGACATTATGTTAAGTGAAGTAACCCAATCACAAAAGGACACAAACTGTTATGATTCCACTTATATGAGTTACTCAGATTAGTTAAAATCATAAAGACAGAAGGCATAACCATAGTTGCCCAGGCTGGGGGAGGGGGAAATGGGGGGTTACTGTTTAAGGGTTAAAGAGTTTAAAGAGTTTCAGTTTCATAAGATG